CAGGTCAAAAGTCAAGTTCTCTATCAACAGGCACATCTAAATCTAAGGCAAAGGGCATTGTCAAAAGACTTACCTGTTCACCAGGAGATGTGTATGTCATGTCTGTTCGAGTAAGGGTGTGTCTGTACGTGTAGGCAGTGTACCTGTTCGTGCAATGGAAAGTGCCTGTTCAAGTAGTAAATGTGTCTGTGCGTTTAGAGTTGTGCCTGTCCAAAAGTGAAGTCAGTAGGCACAGTCCCAGTTCTGGTCTAAGTCAAGGGGTCAGTCCAGATCCAGACTTTCAAGTCCAAATCCAGGCCGAAGTGCCTCAGCAGCTGTTGAATCTCATTGGGACTGTACTGGGACACATGCAATGCAGGGTCTGGGACAAAGGGAGAGGCTGAATTGAGCCAATGCAGACCCAGCGAGGAGTGGCCAGCACTATAAAAAGAGCTGCCTGCCTCATTCCTCGCCAGATCTCCACTGGCTGCAATGCGTGGAAGTGCTGGTGCACTTGTGCGCTGAGTCAGGAGGAGCAGCGCTGGAGGAGAAGACGCGCTGGAGGGAGGAAGATGCCTGTACGCTGGAAGTGATGCAGCCATAGCTGCCCAGCGAGTTAGCAGTAGTAGTAGAGGGTTAGTATGTAGCTACGAGTAGTATCCAGAGTAGATCCTCATGAGTATTGAAGAGTGTGTATGCATCATAAGAGGAAGGGATTGAGGCTGAGAGTGTTCATTCAAGGTTGGCTATGGAAGATACTTACCTGAGTTGGATGTGAYCTGCAGAGGTGGCRYTGAYGAGTGGTGACCACATTGATGACTTGGAGACTATCTGCAGGGGTAGCACTGATTCACTGGAAGGCATATTGATGAGTTGGCAAGATATTGGTGTTGCGCTGATGAGCGCTGGACTCAGGGGAACTTTGAAACATTTTGTATTCATATTTCTGATAATATAAACTGTGAAACTCGGTCCTCATCTTCTCTATCTCTGTCTATTGTCAGACTACTGTTCATTGTGTGTAGGAGTACGATGCATGGCATGTACACACTTGCGTAAGATGGTCCCCAGGACCCATGCAGTATAGTCAGCAGCGAAGTCCCAGGAAAGTCCGCAAACGTCGAGAGACGATAAATATTGGCAGGGTATTGCACCCATAACCGGTAGTGACCGTTGATGACACTGAAGTCGTCATCGAGCATCTGTCCTTGTCCGGAGCATGGGGTCTGAAGGTCATTGGGAAACATGGATGGGACTTGGAACTGGGACCTGGGATATTTTTGCACCAAGGTCGGAAGCTGTGTGTGACGCCCACGAAACCTGAAGCAGCATGCAAGGAGAGGCACAAAGTATTTGGTGGATGGTGGCTGATGAACCACCCTGCCTATCGCGGTATCCACATTTCCACTTGCAGGAAGTTTTTCTCATCCTATAGATGCAATGCATTGTGAGAGTCGTGTTGATCAATGACCGTGGTCTTGAACTCATGACTGAGTTTTGACTTAGGAGTTACGTCTGGGGCGTGGTGTGAGGCAATGACATGCCAGCTGCTTGCAGACATCCTTGGCTCTATGACGTCTCAGTTTCTCCTCGCAACACATTGGTAAAGTCAAAGAGTCTGCAAAGTCAATCAACCATACTTGTGGTCGAGGAAGGACTTGATGTGTTGAATTATTATCCTTTGTTCCTCCTCCTCCTTTCTGTTCTCCTTCTGCTTCTTCTCTTCTTTTTAAAGAAAGGGTGACAGCCTTGAGGTATCATTGTCGAACTGACCGGCCACAGGTAATTAGACAATGTCACTCATGTGGTTCCGTTGGAATTCAAACTCAGGTCTGCATTTCAACAGTTCGTGGGTGTACCAACTGAGCTAGGCCAATCGGCAGATGGGTCGAATCTATAGGTGACCTTACGGTGGTAATAGGGCCGCCCTCAAAACCACATTCGTAAGCTGACGGTTTTTCCGGATAAGTTAGGCTGGATGAAGAAGCAAATAAGAAAGAAAGGACGCTTAAGATAAAAAATGGTGTACCAGATTTGGAAATGATAAGTTCCTCCGCAGATCCTACTGAGGGCGTCGCAAAAAGTCTTTTGATGTATTTAGCGGTATCCGCAAAGGCAGTCAAATTCTTACGCGCTTTCAAGGGAATCAGACGCAAATCATCTGCTCTTCGAGCCGTAAGGTTGATGTTGTGGCCAAGGAAAGGTACTCCTTTCGACACATTGGTAATTCAACACCAATTCCCTTCTGATGCTCTTCTTTTCCTGCCATCTGCTCAGTCTTTTTCTGATAATTTCTTCCTGTGGAAGGTTTGCGGAGCGTGTTGCAGAGAGTCAATCAATCGGTCAGATCATCCAGGGCTTCTCTCCGTTATGCAACACACCACATGCAATAGGATGCCTTTCTGCACCAGGTGCATGTGGAAGAGTTCAACATTTGGAATGTATTGGGACGACTATGACCTCCAGGTGCATGCGGATGGCCCATACTCATACTAGGGGTGTCCTGGATGCATTGGATGACAAGTTCACGACTGCAGCCAATGCTGGGTGTAACGACTGCAATTCCATCCGCAAATCGGCCTACCGTCCTCACACGGTCATTAATGCTGTATTTGGGCCACTTTCAGTCCAGATACAGGTGTCATTAATGCTGCAATTCCATCCGCAAATCAGTCGGAAAGGGCCTACCGTCCTCACCCGGTCATTAATGCTGTATTTTGGGCACTTTCAGTCCAGAAACAGGTGTAATGACCTGGCATTCGTTCTATTGAGGTGAAGACGGTAGAAAGTCCTCCCTTTTTTTTTTTTTAAAAGCTTGTGTTGTTTTGTTTCACGTGCTATCTGATGAGTTTGGTGGATTTTGCTCACGTGTTCTTTTTTTCCTCTTTTTTTTTCTTTTTTTCTTTTTTTTGGTGGATGGTCACGTTGTTCGCATGCCCATGCACAGTTTGTCATCGGCTGTACAATTTGTGTGTCTTTTTCTTTTTTTTTACAAGTTGTGTTAATTTGTGTGTCTTTTTCTTTTTTTTTTACAAGTTGTGTTTTCAGTGGCACAATCCTTGAGCTTTGTGATTTAGCGCTTATATTTTGGCCATGCAGGGGCTCTCAGCAGCTTGACGAGCGCGTGTGCTATTATGACATTCAAGCAGCTTCTTCATTCTCAAAGATGGAACCAATTCATCAATACACCGATCACCAGGTTTGCTTTTTTCTCTCTCTAGCCGCACTTTGGCTGGTCCACTTTCCTCACTGTATTTTTTCTTCACTCTGTTCACTCTGATGAGTCTGATGCGCCCTCCCCACACAAACAGACGCACCAAAAAAAAAAAAAAGAAAAAAAAAAACGTTAGCTACGAATGTGAAGATGACCCTCATTCGAAGCTTTTAATTTTTTTTATTGTTTTATTTTTAGAGTTGGATTTTTTTTTGGGGGAGGGGGGTCGTCAGACCCAGACACTCTGGATCAGACACCGGAGGTGGACATCCAGACCCATACCAGCCACACTGCTGCTTTCACGACGTCCGGATCGTAGCCATGCGTTCATTTCCCTTGCTCTTGACTGTAGCTTTCTCTACTCTTGCTTTCCCCACTTGAGCCTTTCCCACTTGCACGCTCGCTTGCATCACTCGTGCGTGCTCCGGTTGCACTCTCACTTTCGTCGCTCTTGCCGTCTTCACCACCCCCGCTTCTGTCAGTCCCCTTAAAAACACCACTACCTTCAAGCCTTCTTTTGCCAAGGCGGAGTAGAACTGTGCGCCAAGCTTTGGCCGAAACGCCAGCACGGCGTGTTTTGTTTTGTTTTGGCTCTTGCAGCCAGCCTTTTTTATCCGGGAGCGCCCAGCTGATGCCAGCCTCCAAAGAATGCGTAGTGGTGATTTTTTTTTTTTTATGAGAAAAGAAAAAAAAGGACAACTGGAAAAAAACAAAGCAGGACTGTCAGACACAGCACAAAGCGCACACATAATGACTGTATCTGACGTGAAAGATGGCTTATGTACATTCAAGGGCAGACTTGGGAGACTCGTGAGAGAAACAGATTTCTTGGGGCCGCAGTTGAGCATGGCCCCAATTTTATTTTCTTTGCCCTCAGCATTTTCACGAGGGGAGGGGAGGGAAGGGGCATATGCTATCACACCTTGCCCATCCCGGTTTTTTTTTGGGACCCTTATTTTCAGGGTGCGGCGCATCGCTGCGCGCTCTCATGCATTCATGTGTGCGATGCAATGCATGTCGATGCACCGCGGCTATGGTATGCAGGGGAGACTTGTTCCGGAATGGTCTTTCAAGTGTGCTATGGGCCTCACTCCACTACTCTCCGCATGCACAATAGGCAAAAAATGATGGTGTGTATCTTTGCATGTTCTAGCTGAAGATTAATTCTCATTTTGGCATTTTGCACATTTGGTGAGTAGTGGAGCGATCCCCTATATACGCTCTCCTGGGCATGGCATATAGTGCGTCAAGGCTTCCTTCTGTCAGTGTGTATTTTATTCGCATCTCTAAGATCTCTTTCGTTTTCCATTTGTGAAAGGCTGGCTGCATCACAAAATTACTGGAAGTCGCTCGTTATTTATCCGATGCGTGTTCATTTTCATTCTTCGGTCTCTTTTACGTCCTCCTTATCTCGTGTTTGTTGGTTTGTGTCTTGCAGGATTTGATTACCTGTGTTTCCCTTATTCCACCAAACCCTAATATTTTTATGTCTGGTTCGAGAGACTTCACTGTACGCATCTGGGATCGAAGACGAGATGGATGCGTTGGTGAGTATCAGTATACCATTACTTTGGGACCGCATCTGGGACCACATCCGGGACCACATCTGGGACCACATCCGGGACCACATCTGGGACCACATCCGGGACTACATCTGGGACCACATCCGGGACCACATCNTACATCTGGGACCACATCCGGGACCACATCTGGGACCACATCTGGGACCACATCCGGGACCACATCCGGGACCACATCTGGGACCACATCCGGGAACACATCTGGGACCGCAGACGAGGTGACACCAAAATCTTTCGGGTTTCTGATACATCGAGACCCTCACCGGTGCTGGTGATTCTTCAAGTCTAAAATACAATCACGTTTTTTTCCGTCCACTTGTAGACGTCCTTCGCATTCACTGCCAAGCTCTTTCAGTTATGTCGATATGAAACTTGAACGCAAAGGATGGCAGCGAATGCAAAGAACTTTGCCTGACCTGAATTTGTGTGAGTGCTCCTGAACCACCGTCTTCCCTGCAAAACACCGCCAATCATGACTGTATCGGATAAAAACCCTAGCTTGTATACATTCATGATCAGGGTGCGTTATGCTGTCTGACGGTAGAATTCGATAATCCTCTAACCCTGTAGGTGAACTGGTGGATAGACCTTGAGGTGTGATGCGCACACACACACACCATTCCTTTATCTCAAAGCAATGCTGTAGTTACGCAACTACTTAAATCTTTGCAGATTGCTTCGTTCATTTCAAATGCAAGGAACCCGACTGTTCATCACTTGCTGGAGTGCATCAGATCACATACATATCCACAGATTGCGATGTCTCACACAAAGCCCAATAGAAGATGAATGAGAACCAGGAAGCTTAACTCAATTATCAAACCCAGATTAAAGAGAGAGTATCAAGAGTCAAAAATGTACAACGCCGAACAGAGTTGCAAGTCTTCTTCAATCAACATGAGTTCCCAGGCCTGGCGCTCATCAGCACCAGCTGCCAAATGTCAACAACACCGCTCAACAGGTAATTGTCACCATAGCTCTCTCCTCCCCCTCTCTCATCTGCTTTCTTCTCTCTCTCCCTCTATGTCTTTAGTCCTGGTCTACTCACATTCTCCACGCATGCACACTCCCTATCACACGAGGATCTACTCTGAATACTATTCACTGGTGTCTCCTACTAACTATCTCTACTAGTACACTGACTAGCACTGGCGCAGCTATGGCTGCCTTCCCTCCGGCCAGCGCTCACTTCCCTCTCACATAGCGCTGCTCTTCAGCCTAGCGCAGCTCGCACATGTCTAGCGCACAAGTGCCACGGCACTTCCACACACTCATGCGGAGTAAGCATCTGTCTAAATGGGAGGCTGGCCAGTCCTTTATAGTGCTGGACTGGTCTGGCGTGGCCTGCATTCAGCCTCAAAGGTACCTGGGACTCCCGCCCAGTACCGATTGTTGCAAAGTGTGTGTCCCAGTATCTTTTCCCATGGTCTGCTGCTGCTTTGGGCCATCGGGCCTGTCTTTTGGACTCCTGGTCTGAATCAGGACTGACTCGTGGGATTATGACTGGACGGGAACTGTAGCCTTTGACTCATTGCCGAACAGACATGTCTTTTCATCGAGGAGACATGACCCTAACTCAGCCTTGAAAACTGTGTCCAATACCTGTTCGTGCAGGACCTGTTTGTGACTGTTCAAACGACTTTTCATTTCATTATGGATGCAACATTTGCCTCAGGAACTTTGTCTTTTGCATTGCTGCTCGTGAATTTAAATTGTGGCCGTCAGGGCCCCTTGCTGTTGGGGCATTCATCTGGGGTCTAATCCGTAAAGGCCCTTTTACAAACTTCGAACTTCAAACTTCAAACCCATAACACTAAGTTCAAATCTGCAATACTAGAATTTCATTCATCCTTTTCCGGTTGGAATTGAACTCAGGTGTGTATTTCAACTGTTCGTTCATGTAGCAGCTGAGCTAGGCCTGTAGGTTTGAACTTGGTATTCCAGGGCGGATGTGGACTCTCAGCCTTGCAATATACTAAATTCAAACCTACAAATACTAATTGGTATTCATCTTGGGTGTTTCAGTGCGCACCAAAAAACGCTGGTGTGGCTGGATGTGGTGGATCGTGGGATGAGTCAACCGTCGCACTGCCAGGCTCCGGGCACGACAGTTTGCATTCAGTTTGGGTGCAGATTTACTGCAGAACAAAATGCTGCGTGACCCCGGCGACAGGAACCCTCCCCCCTGTCCCACCCACACACATACACACACAACACACTACAGCAGACTGTTTTGTTAAGAGGTTGTCGGACCTGGGGGGTTTGAAGTTTGAACCCAGGCACACAGATCTCAAAGTCATGTTGTGTGCACCGTCTGAGGTTATGTAGATTGACAGGAAAGCCCATGATTGATTGTCAATCTCTACTAGGAATCTAGGATGACCAAGACCCATTGACTATATCTGGGTCCAACCTATGTTAAAATTTAAACCCTCTCTCGTGCCCTGGGCAGAAGCCCACAACTTGGGCGCTTCCATCATCCCCCCAGGGAGGCTAACTTCTTGCGCAGAGCTTGGACTCCGGGAGGGATCAACGTTTTAGAGATCTGCTGAGTATGGATCCAGGTATTTCAGGCAGATCGTCTTCTTTTTTCCTTCTTTTTCTTTTTTTTTTTCCTTTTCTTTTCCCAAAAAAACACAGGCCCCCTTCTATTCTGGGGGGCAACAGTCCGGTTACTTTTCCCCGGCAAGCACGTCTGTACAAAGAAAGTGGGGGAGAAAAGAAGAGAGGAGGAGAGTCAGCCTAACCGTTGTGGCCCTAGCCGCCTGAGCAAGGGGGGGCTGCTTCTGAGCACCCCACCCCCAAACCTTTGCCCCTCGGCGGCGGATTGCCGTAGTGGCTGGGAAGCATACTAGCAGTCCCTGAGGCCGCTTGCCAATCGTCAACTGTTTTCTTGATGATCCAAATCTTGCCCAGTACCTGCTTACATCAATCCTACGCATGCCTGTCTCTGTACATACACCCTGCCTTGTTTCAGTTCCTGTGTGAGTCTTTCCCAGCCTTGTCATCCCTTAGATTCAGGCAGATCTTCTATTTTTGCTGCGATTTTTTTCCAAAAGAAAGGCTGGCAGCCTTGAGATATCATCGTGGAACCGGCTGGCCTCAGGTCATTCAAGAATTCATTCATCTAGTTCCACTGGACTCGAACTCAGGTCTGTATTTCGACAGTTCATGGGTGTACCAAGTGAGCTAGACCCGTTGGTACAATATGTTTGCCGCCATCCTGGCCAGTGCCTGGCTGGATATGCAAGAGTTGCGAGCTGTCGTTGTCATAGGGAAGGATATAGCCTAGGGTAAGGAAGGGTATAGGGTAGGGTAGGGTAGGATAGGGTATATCCTACGGTAGGGAAGGGTAGGGTATAGCCTACTGTCTATGTATTACGTCCTGGCCCGTGCCTGGTCGGATATGCAAGAGTTGGGAGCTGTAGTTGTCAAAGGGAAGGGTATAGCCTAGGGTAGGGAAGGGTATAGCCTAGGGTAGAAAAGGGTATAGCCTAGGGTAGGAAAAAGTATAGCCTACTGTCCATTTATTGCGTCCCAGCCCATGCCTGGCTGGATATGCAAGAGTTGGGCTGTCGTTGTCAGAGGGAAGAGTATAACCTAGGGTAGTGAAGGTTATAGCCTTGGGTAGGGCAGGGAAGGGTATAGCCTTGGGTAGGGTAGGGTAGGGAAGGGCTTTGCCTGGGATTGTGTCTGCTACCCACCAAGTGATGTGGGTCACATGGAGGGCTGGTTGTGGTTCTATGTGAGCTGGGTGCACAACTATGTAGCGAGGCTGCAGTACTAAGTGGACTGGACGTGGTACCACCTGTGTTGGTAGTGGTACCATGTGGGTGCGGTCTGGTACTATCTGGCCGGGCTGGAGTAGAATGTGGTTTTGGGTGTTGTACAATGGGGGTTGAGTGGGTCAGTCTGTGGGTTCGGCAGTGGGCTGTAGGGTCGGTGTGGTGGGTTGTGGGCTGGGTGCAGTGGACCGTGGGCTGGGTATTGTGGGCTGGGTGAAGTGGACTGTGGGCTGGGTATGGTGGGTTTTTGGCTTGGGTGCAGTTGAATGTGAGCTGGGTGCAGTATTATGTAAGCTTGGTATGACACTGTGTGGGCTGGGTGGAGTGCTGTGCGAGCTGGGCGCTGTTCATGCGGTCGGTGAATTTGACGTTCGCCTCAAAACTAAAAAATAAAATAGATACAAAGGAAAATCGTAGATGAAAACAACTTCTGGCATCGTCGAAGAGAAAAGGTTAACCGACCCCCCATTTTTCACCTCAATTTCCCCGTTAACCACTTGTGTCGTCGAAAGGGATAGGGATCAAAACTTCAATCTGATACCTTGTGGGCTGGAGGTTGTACTATGTGAGCTACAGGTTTGACATTACTACATGGACTGGGTGAAAAGGATACCACAAAGAATCAGCACAGAGAGAAATGTTTGGGCCGCAAAGAGAATCAGCTGACCCATTTTGCAAGAGGCAGGATGCCAGGTTTGACATGGGTTTGGTATTACCACATTTCTCTGTGTGCTGATTCTATGTGAGCCAGGTTTGGTATTACTACATGGGTTTGGTATGACTACTACATCGCTGACCCATTATGCAAGAGGCATGATGTCATTAACCTTTGTGGTATCCTTTTCATCCCCCTCGCTCGTTCTGCTTCTTTGCGGCCCATACATCATTTCTCTGTGTGCTGAATCTAGTCCTCTTCTTTGTCAAGAGGTCTCTTCGCTCTTATGCATCTCACTCTTATGATTGATGTTTTGAATACGCAGGAATGTTTGGAACGATGTCGCAAAATGGGCGTATTCAAGCTCATGAACAGATGATCACATGCTTGGATGCAAGCGATGTTTCAATGGTCCTATCGGCAGGGATCGACTTTCGGGTGCTGATGTGGGACTTCAGGACATTGGGACAGGTATGGTCAACATAATAACAAGCACAGTGCTGCTGTCTGGAACCATTTGGTCAGAGAATAACAAAAGCAATCAATCATAACTTAACCGTAGTGTTAGTTTACAGTGATACTACGTCCCTCGAAAATCTGGAGCTGTGGGTTCTCGTAACCACATAAGCTCTCCTAGGTGACCGGCCTCTGGTCAAGCAGCGCAAGAGCGCTGCAAGTAAAGAGAGAGAGAGTTAAAGCGCCAGCACACCCTTAACAACATGTAAGGTCCCCGTCGTGGTAACAAGAATATGCAGGCGATGGACATGATAGAGACGACGGAGGAGATGGAGAGATGGAGATAATGGAAGTGGTGGAAGGCGATTGAGGCGATGCTACCAGTGAAAGGTGATGAGGGCAAAGGAAGCGATGGACATGGGAGGCGATGGAGGCAATGAATGAAGGATATGCGAAGCATTGGAGAGACTGTGGATGGCGATGAACATTATGACTTGGTGGTAAGTTGGTAACAAGAATATGCAGGCAGTTTACATAATAGAGATGATGGAGGAGATGGAGGTAATGGGGGGGGGAAATCACTCTGGTTACTTATCCCCGGCAAGCATAAAGGACTGTCCACCGTTAGCTAATTGTCTTTATTTTTCATTACTAGGAGCCTCAACAGGTGAGTGTCTATTGAGCTATAGCTTGCCCCCAGGGCATGGGATCACTGTCAGTGGGATGGTGGTACCTGAGTGGGTTTTGAAACGAATACGTGTCTGGTGCAACCCAAGTGCGCGACCACAGAAGCCGGCCTGAATCTCCATTTCATTACTAACATCACTGGGGAGGTTGCCCTTATGATGGAGGCTCTCAAATCTCAGATCTAGCACTGCTCACTGTGCAGCTCGCCTTTCCCTCAGAGTTCTACAGAATGCACCACACCTGCTGTCCCCTTGTCAACACACATCACATGAATAATCAAGGCAATGGGAGGCAATGGGAGGCAATGGGGGGCAATGGGAGGCAATGGGAGGCAACTGAGGGAGTGGGAGGCGGTTGGAGGCAGTGGGAGGCAGTGGGAGGAAGTGGAGGCAATGGAGGTGATGGAGGTGATGGAGGTGATGGAGGCAATGGACAATCAAGGGGATGAAGGCGATGAAGGCAGTGAAGGCCAGCCAATGGTGCTGATGGAGGTGAGGAAGGCGACGGGAGGCAATGGGAGGACGAATGTGATGTAGGTGACGGAGGTACAATCAAGGGGATAAAAGCGATGAAGGCAGTTTAGGCCAGCGAATGGTGCTGATGTAGGTGATGGAGGCAATGGACAATCAAGGGGATGAATGTGATGAAGGCGATGAAGGCAGTGAAGGCAGTGAAGGCCAGCCAATGGTGCTGATGGGAGGTTGAGAATGTGATGTAGGTGATGGAGGTGAGATTATGGAGGTGGAGGTGGTGGTGGTGATAGAGGTGATGGAGGTAATGGAGAGTGACGACGCGATCCAATATCAGACCCTGAACCTGACTGTGAAGTTGCGCGGACCCAGCTATTTGCGTGTTGTCTGTACTTGTTTGGATTGGAGGGGTCTGCTTTCTTTGTGTGTTTCTCTCGAACCGAATATGGCCAACCACTAGACTTTGTCATAGCTTTTTATTCGTGTTCGTATTCGGACAGGGTATGTGCATGTGTATTTTAGTTTGTCGATCTTAGTTCCAGAACATACCCTTATGCTATTTGTGTGTTGTCTGGATCGAAAGGGTGTTTTTTTCTTCATGTGGTGTTTCTTTCGATCCGAATAAGGTCAACCACTGGACTCTGTCGTCGTGTACTGTCCCGGATACGACCACTGTCTTCCCCCAAAGCGAACATACGGGCATTATCGCTCTATCGATTAGAGTCATTAGACTGTATTGACCGTACGATTTATTGAGGGGGGACGACGGTACTGTCCAGATTGGCTTCGAACCCGTCCATCAGGGCTCTGCTTGGCTGAAAGGTAAACCCAAAACTCAGTCCAACCCTGAAGGGTTAAGGGTTGTCAAACCGCTAGTACATCGCCCAGGCAAAAACTTGAGAATCGAAATCGAGCCAATCCAAAAATTTCGGAGGCTCAGCGAGTCTGGACCAAAATGCCGCACTGGCGTTTCGGCGAAGCTTGGTGCGCAGGGGGAATCCACCTCAGCAAAAGGACGCTCGGATGTATTGGTGGCGGTCCGAGGGTAGCAGCTGTAATTTTGCATATTGGGGGAGAGATGGTGGGGAACTGCGTCCGCATGTTCTATTCTCAGGTTGTTCTTTTTGTTCTTCTTCTTTCCTTGGCTTTTTGGGTTCAATAGCATGCATGCTGCTCAGGCCATGGGGGGCCTTTGTGTTGTGTTTGTGTTTTTTGGCTGCTGACAATGTCCTATGCTTCTTTTTTTTTTTTCTTTTTTTTTTCTTTTTTCTTTTTTTTTTGTGTGTGTGTGAGCGCGCGCGCGCGCGCTATTCCTGTACAGAATGGAAGCCCGCCTGTTGGAACAGTGCAGCTGGACGACTCCCCGTTTCTAAAGGTGGCGCTTGGAGGGAATCCTAACTGTGCAGCAGTGAGCACCTTGAGAGGGCTTTACATGGTTGATTTTAACAATGTGATGCGTCGATTCGGAATCGCGGAACCCTTCGCGGACAAACGTCGTGTTGGGCGATACCATGATCTGAAATGGGCGCACGGCCGCAAGCTACTTTATGCAGCTGGAGACGACATGCGTGTTGACGTGTACTCGTTCCTCGAGTGAGAAAGGAGACACAAATGTGTGTGCTCGTTCCCCAGGTGAGAAGACGATAGGCATGTGCCGATTCGCATTCGTAGCCCGGATGAGAGGATTGACTTGTACGGTGATGTTTACGCGTTCATCAGGGGAGAAAATAGCAGGACATATCAGGGCATGGCATGGCAGGGAAACTCCATACGCAGGCTCCACAGGTCTGGCCGCAGCCTGGAAGACTGCGTGCAAGGTCATTGACAACAACGGTACCAATAAATGATGCATGTTTTGTGGCCATGTCTCATGCAATGCTATCGCTCTATGCGTTTCTCCACTGTACATTACTAGGCTATTGTTGTGGGTTTATGGGGGTCTCTTCTGTAGTACAAGGGGCTTTTTGTAATGGTATGTTTTTGCCGATTGCGCACGACTTTACTTGGCATGCAATATCATCAGGACAGGGTTTAAGTTGTTTAACCATTGAAGATAGAGTGGTCATAACAATGGGGGATACCTAGCTCAGCTGGTACATCATGAACTGTTGAAGTATAGACCCGAATTCGAATCCAGATGGGGAAAAAGGGCTGGTTGTCTGTTCTGGCCCTTCGTCGCTAGAAGGGCAAAGGTGGGTGTCAGGAATAAGCAAGAAGAAAGTCTTCTCCACTTTTGCAGTTAACTTGCGACAGTGATCGCCACAGTGGCTGAACAACTTCGAGTTCAGTGTAGCTCTCTCTCTCTCTCTCTCTCTCTCTCTCTCTCTCTCTCTCTCTCTCTCTCTCTCTCTCTCTCT